GCCACCGACATGAATGCCCAATTAATAAAATAAAACTTTACTATTTTTATAGTTTATATAATATATCTTTACATGTAAGATAGAAATCAAAGTAAAATAAAGCAAAACAAATTAAAAAATGCAATTCTGTCATTTATATGAATTTTAATTCTTTTTCTGTCAACCAAACAGAATCTGGAATTAATTCAGTTTCATTTCCTGCCAACCAAACACTATATAAAATTTGATTTAAATTTATGACAGATTCCTTTTTCAATTCCAATTTAAATTCTTTAGAAACATTCTACATTCTACAAACAGTTTGTTGGAATATATGATGATATTTTCCCTACGGTCCTTTTTTCTTTATTTTCACAAAAGGATAAACCTTACTCTTTTATCTCTTTCGCTTTATTCTCTTTGTCTTCTTCCTAAAATGTTTGATTTTGGCTTTGGTGTCTAAAGAAATATATAAAGCTCGTTAATTAAAGATATCAAAAATCGTATAAAAAGTCGTTGTATGAACCATGAATTCATCTAAATCTATTCTTCTTTATGAAAAAGAACAATTAAAAACCCATAAATATAAACACCAACTTAAAGTCCTAAAACAATGTATCAATTTTAGTTCGAACGTTACAAGACAAATAATACTTTCGAGATATATTAAACACGATTCTAAAAATACTTTTGAGATATATTAATGATACATGTTATTTTTTTTAATAAATTAACCAATTATTATAGTTACTTTCTAGACAGATTCTATAAAAAAAAAAGATATCTAAAGTATTTAGTTCTTAGTTTATACTTTAAAATCAGTATGATAAATTTTATTAACATTATAATAATTAAAAAAAAATATATACATAAACACTACAAACATATATTTTGATAGCTCTACGCCTCTACTCTACAGATTGAAAAAAAAACAAAAACAAAAAGAAGTTATCCTAAAGAGTTATGTTTATCGGAAAATTAATCATCCTTAATAAATGAAGGTGTTTTTTTGTCACATATCAATCTTTCATGAGTTTTGACACATGTAATTTTGTGATTAATTCTTACAAATTAATTTCCACTTGGCATTTTATGGTAATTTTTGATTTTTTTAATTAATTATTCTAATTTTTAGGTTATAAAAAGTAATTAATGTGTTATTAATTTGTTTACTTATATTTTTAAATTAAATTTTGATATGTTTCCTTCAATATATAATTCAAAATTGATATTTTTCTTTCAAATTTCATTGTCATTTTAGTTAAATGGTCTACATATAAAAAATAATCAAATTTTATTGTTTTTCATTGATAAACTAAAAAAATGGTTATGTGGCCAAAATATAATTATTTTTATGTAGTTTCTTTTATTAGTATAAATTGATTTATTTATTTATTCATCATTTTGTTTGTATATATTTTGAAATTTCATTTTAAAAAATATTTAATTTTTACACATTGATATTTAACGCTTTCTTTAAAAAAAATAATTAATATTCATATTTTTATATATAATTATTTTTTTAATCAACCTGTGTAGTACACGGATCTCACACCTAGTTGATTAATAATAAATTTAGTTTTGCCAGCCGTCATGAAGATGAGTCATATTGTTTCTTTGTTACAAACCGAGTTAACCGTTACCCGTTTCTATTTTAATATTAAATTACAACTTTTGTCATTTTTATTTTATTTTCCATGTGGCGCTTTCTGTGGCAAATACGTGGCATATTTATATTTAGACGGAAATATTTATATTTGGATAGTATAAAGTATAATATTAGCTGTGAGACAATAATTATATGTATTTGTTTAAAAAAAATAAAAATAAATATGAAGATCTAAAAAGTTATAAAGTTTAAATTTATAGAAAAAAAAAGAAAAATATTTAACTATTAAAATTGAAGTGTTTGTTTTTTGTTTAAATTTAAACAAGTAATTTAAATAACTAAACAATTAAAATAATTAGATTCAATTTAGATATGTAGAAATTATAAAGAAAATTGCATTAATAAATTTGATATACATTTATTAGTATATTTATTATATTTAAATATTATATATAATTCAGTAAAATAGAAAAAAAATCACAAAATAATATTAAAAGCTAGATATAATTTAATCTAAAATTCCCTTAAAATGACATGTGATGTAATACACAAGAATGACCAACAAATATAATTTTTATTTATTAAAGTAAAGAAGAAAAAAAGTAAAAAATAAAAAATATATAAGTAAAAATATCAATATTTTATGATTGCGTTTGCCTTTTAATTAGATGTTGATATAAAAATATATCTTTAGACTTCTAAAAGTCTTAAAGTGACTTTTAGCAGTCAAAAACCACGTAAATATGTTGCAATTCCATCCATAGTTTTTAAAACATGTTTATATTGGCTCACTAGGTGTGTGAGACCCGCGTATTACACGGGGTTGATTTAAAAAAAAGATTAAACATTAAAGTATAAACAAAAAATATTTTTTAATGTATAATTTTAAAATAAGAAAGGAAGAAACATATTTATTGCAATTTAATATCATATATATGATACTTAATACTTTACATATATAAGTATATGACTTTAATTTTAAAAATTGAAACAAACCAAAATTTAACAAGTGGATAATATTTATTTTAAAAATATCACAAAATGACAAGTGTCAAAACACATGAGAGATTGACATGTGGCAAAAAAACCTTCTTTTATTAAGAAGGATATTTTAATTTATTGCGATCAATATAGACAATGTTATGACTATATAAGTAAAAATATAAATATACTGAAATAGATATAGACAATGTTATGACTCTATGAGTAAAAATACCTTCTTTTATCAAACAATTTAAAATTCTATGTCGACTTTACCTTTTTATATTCTCTAAACTATTAACTATGTGGACCTATCGATTTCAACTAACAATTACATGTACATATTATCCAATTTGTATTAATTTATGTGGGAATGCATAAACATTGCTGATTTGTATTAAATATTATTTTGAGGAGAAAATGGTGTGGGAAATTTGTCTTGTTGTGTTAGGTGATCAAATTAAACCCATACAAGTTAAGCATATACGACTAATTTACGTCAATTTAAATTAATTTATTCATAAAGCCATCATGCATTGTCTTCTTGTACTCTTTTACCATTATTTCGTACTTTGTTTCTTATTATATTTCTTTTAATGTACAAGTTGTCAAAGCGTTAGGTAACATTGAAAGTAACCAAAAATAAATAAATAATCAAATGATTGGCATAAAAAGAAACACATTAAAATAATTTTACAAATATATAAAGATTCTATGGTATCGTTTTTCATCGTTTACTCTTCTTTTTAATTGGGTAAAAGACAAGAAATCAACTTACATATATAAAGAGATATATACAAATTTAATTAAATTACTCAAGTAATAAGAAAGCAATTAATAGTCATTCCAATTGATGTCTAATGACCAACTAGATGGAATGATGTGTTGCACCATGTGCTTCCATTAGTTGTATATCATGGATACAATTTTTATCTTTTAATACAAAACTCAAATTAAAGAAAAAAAATTAAATCCGAAAATACAAATTTAAACTTTTTATTTAAACAAAAATTAAAATTTAAACAACTTTTAAAAACTTTAATAATTTTTAAACATTTCTAAAAAAAACATAAATTCATTTCAAATTTTTTTTCTTCCACAAAACAAATTAGGAGTGTTTAGATGCCATCATAGCCTCATGAACTTGGTGCAATCAAGACACATATAATTGTGGCATGATAAAAAAGCAAAATGTGGCACCTATAACACTACAACACCCCACCACCACATCACATCACATGCATTTGTTATCAAAATAATAATTAAATTTAGAAAGTAGCCATCTTTTTTGAAACCTTCATTGTTTTCTTGTCAAATTACAACACATCATCCACCCTTAGCCGAAACAGCCACATAAAAAAACACCTACTTGCACCTTATGCAACAAGAGTTGTACTGTATGCATCAAGTTGTACTCTACGCATTAAAAGTTGTACCTTTATTTAAGACTTATACCATGTGTACCAAAGTTTGCACTTGGTTTGGGGTTGAAAAAACACAAATAGGAAGCAAAGATGTTTTACTTTGTCGTTGCTTTGAGATTTTATTGCAAGGTACAACACTCAAATGCATCAAAGTACAACCTTGCAATGCTGACAGAAGTTGAAGATGCTCCTTGCAATACATCTTGGACACACTCAACACTTCAAGATAACAAAGCAAAGACAATGATATTGTCATTTTTCATAATTCATTCCATTCCAAGGTACAATCTTTAACTCATAAAGATAAAAAAATAAAGATTCTTTAAACATCAAATCTTGACACACCCATAAACTAAAGACAACAAAGCAATGAAATTGATATCGCGGATGCTTATGATTCAATCCAAGGTACAACCTTTAATGCACAAAGGTAGGAATGAGGGATTCTTTGTACATCAAATCTTCAACAAACCTATAAATAAAAGTTAGAAAAAGCAAAGATCTTGATGGTTTATTTAAGGTACAATCTTGAATGCATAAATAATAGGAATTGGGGATTCTTTCATATATAAAACCTTTAAAACAAATTGATATTATCAATGTTTGTGATTCATTCCAAGGTACAAACCCATAATACATGAAGATTTAAATTAGGGTTTCTTTATACAAGAAATCTTTGACACACCCAGAAATTGGAGAGAAGAAAGAATCGTATACACAAACAATTACATCAAGAAAAACACAAGAAACTATAAACCCACATAAGAAACCATCCCATGAACACAAAACAAGACTTTGATATGCCTAATTTCTATATATATATATGTGTATGTATATATATAGAATATAGACATATAAATATAGATATATAGAGATTTATCCAATAAACTAACTCCAAAAGTATGAAAAGGGAAAAAGAAAATTGACCCACAAACATCAAAGTACCAATAAGATGCAATTAAGGCTCTATCAGGCACCCAAAAACCAAATCAAGAAATTTTTCAAGATTATGATTTATGGGTGGCTTTAGTTTTGTGCTTGTGGGCGGCGCCGGCGCCGGCGCCGGTGGATTTAGCAGGCTTGCTGAAGATCGCACAACAACCGGAGACCTTTGGAGATGGAGGGTCGATAGTAGGTTCAACTTCTACAGATTTATATGGCTTCGGTTCTGCTCTTTGTTGTTGCTCTGTTTTCTCCCTTTCTTCTTCTTCTTTTGTCTTCACTGGCTTAAGCTCTCCTGATAACAGTTTATCATCCCAAACAAGCCCTGATGATCCTGATCTTCTAAATGACACTTCTGACCTTGGTAATGCCTCCATCTCTTTCTGTATCTCGATGTTTGTGATGGTGGTGTGGGAGAGAGATTTAAGGCTAGGGGATATATGGTGGTGATATAAGAGGGTGTTTTATGGGTATAAGTAATTGGGGTGGGGTGGCGTG